TCGTTCCCGCAGTTCGGCCAGTTCGACATCACCCGGGAGGACTTGGAGAGCTGGTACGAGTGGTTCTATGGTGAGGACATCGGGGGCCGTTTTCCCCCGCCAGAGGACCACGTCCTGGCAATTGCCGAACGCAACGCATGGCGAAAGATTCACGAGAAGATGCATGAGGGCAACACCCTCAAGGCGGCCATGCTGTCGGTCAGGCAGGACACATTGTTCTGGACACGTGAGGTCTATGAGAAGATCAAGACCTTTTCCAGGGGCCGCCCATCAACCAGGACATCCATGGACTACGCACCACCTCAGAAGGGCAAGAACAAGTCCAAGGGCAAGGGGAAGTCCAAGGGCAAGCCTGGGAACAAAGGGAAGGGTAAGCCCCCCCACCTGAACAATCAGGCGTCCCGGGGCGGTAACAAGCAGGCAGCCACCGACCCGAAAGGGAACCAGTTCTGTAACAACTGGATGCGCGGGCGCTGCCCGGGCAACTGCGGCCGCACCCACAAGTGCAACCTCATCCTGGCAATGGGCCGCATCTGCCTGGGGGACCACCTCCCGCAGGACTGCCCGGGTTGACTAGGGGCGCTGACCCCTACCCCCCGGGAGGCCTCAGGTGCCGAGGGCCCTGATAAGGCCCGGGGGGGCGAGAAGGGGCGCAAACGCCCCAAGCAGGCACAGAAGCCCCCTCCTGCAGGTGCCGAGGGCCCTGACACAGGGGGGGGACAGGCCAGGTGGCGGCCATCCTCGGCGGAACAAGGATGGGGACGGCAGAACCAGCGTGCACAACGCCCTCGCCGTGATCAGAACAGCCACACAACCGGCACAACGGCGGCGCCTCAGTCCCGAGCCACAGGTGCCGAGGGCCCTGATATGGCGGGGACGGGACGGTTCCCCGCAGGTGCCGAGGGCCCTGACACGGGGGGCCGCACCCAGAAGGCCCGAGTGCCGGATGACTGGCAGCACACCGCAACGCCAAGGGACACTCCCAGGAAGCAGCCGATCCCACTTCCGGCGCCCAACATCATCAAGCAGGACCCGGTGGTTTTCCACAAGAGCTCGGTGGGGCTGAATGAAGGGGGCCAACGCCTTTCAGCTACCCCCCTGACAAGTCCAACGGAGCCGTCACCGGGATTGGACATCTTCCCGTGGATGGAGAACATCCCTGAGCGTCTGGTACAGCGGCTGAGATGGACACAGGGCACATCGCCCAAAGTTCCATCCAGTGGGCCCATCATTGTCCTGCTCTATGCAGGCAAGGAAGACCCAACTTCCTTGGACAGCTGTCTTCATGCCAACTACCCACACCTTTCCAGCATGGTGGTGGCGGTAGACATCCTACGGTCTGGACCAAAAGGGGACCACGATATGCTCCAACCCGAGCTGTATGGAGCTCTTTGCACGGCAGCAAAGCAGGGCCGAGTGGTCTTCATTGGAGGAGGACCCAACTGCAGGACATGGTCCATCCTGCGCCACATACCAAAACCGGGGGCTCCCACCCCGGTGCGAGGGCGCACTCCAGAGACACTTTGGGGCCTTCCACACCTGGACCAGGCCGCCCAGACTCAACTTGATGATGACAGCATCCTCATTCTGAGACAGATGTACATCACCAGCCTGGCAAGGGCCTCACGAGCGGCGGTTTCTCTGCCAGGGCCCAGGTCCTTCCTGGAACACCCGGAGGACCCAGTGGTGAGCAGCTCGCTGCCCAAAGCCAAGGAATGCTCATCCTTCTGGATCACAGAGGAGGGGCAGCTTTGGATGGAGGAGAACTCCTTGACAGCAATCTCCTTCGACCAGTGCCGCCTGGGCCAGCTGGTCAAGAAGGCCACTACGCTGGCCACGGATCTCCCGATCCAGGACTGGGATCAAATGCGGTGCACGCATCAGTCACATGTGGGCACCAACGAGTCCTCGACTCTTAGCAGATACCCTTGGGATATGATGGCAGGCCTGGCCAAAGCCATCGCTGTGTCACTCGCAGCGCCGGGGCACATCCGGATCCCCTCACAATTTCCGGGAAACCCCAAGGAACCACCTAAGGGGCGGGGGTCGGACCCCCCGGAAGGCCATTCCCCCCGGGGAAAACGGGGGCCCAGTCAAGGAGGCGGTCCCTCCTCATCACACCAGGGCTCAAAGCCCGGAGGCAAGAACGCCCCGAAGCCCCGCCTGCACGGGCAGTTCCACCCTGAGGCAGACACCGTAAGCCCTCGTGGAACAATGAACCCAGACTTCCCATCTCCCATGCCCCCGATGGCCGGAGATGCGGAACAACTGGGGAAGGAGGGACGGGGGGACCAGGTCCTGGACCGCCCCGAATGCCTGCCCGCTTTCAGGGTCCCACACCTCACTGACCGGGTGGCGATTGTCCAATTGGGTTTCCGCTCACGCCCCCTGAGGGATGGGGGGGGAAACCTTTTCTAGGGAGGCTCAACCCCCCTTTTCGGAGAATTTCCCCATTGGCTACTTTGGGCGCCCTGATCATGACCCTTACCCGGCCCTGGATTGACAAGGTCCGAATGTCCCTGGCATCAGGTGCCACCACACACCCCTTCCAGGAAGCCGACCTCGAGGAGCTGCGGGCTATCCTAGGACCGAGGCACCTCCATGAACGATGCCCAGGACAACCCTTCCTCCTGGACTTAGTGTCGCACTTGGCATCCCTTTCAGGTGACCCTGATTGGGAGTTCCCCCTAACACTGAAAGAGGGGGTCCCCTTGGGAGTCTCGGACCCTACCTTGACCTCCCCGGGAGTTTGGCCCACTAAGGAGGAGCTTAAGGGAGAAGCCTGGCTGGGGGAAGATCCCCCCCCGCCAGTGGCTCATGATAACTACCCAACGGCTGAACTCTTTGCCAAGGAAATCGAATCAACCTTTTACGAGGAACGAGCCTTGGACATGGTGGACGGGCCCTTCACTCGCTCCGAGGCGGCAGAGAGGTGCCGCTGCAAACCGGAGGAACTTTGCCCGGGCCCCCTTGCAGGGATTGATGAGTCGGACAAGATCAGGACGATCTATGATGGCTCAAAAGGGGGAGCAAACGCACACATCCAGGCTCACACGGAGGAGAAGACCACCGCACCGATGGTTGGAGACTGCCTCCATGCCATCCACTGGCTCAGGACAGCGGCGGACCATCCTCATCTACTCCGAGCCCCATCCTCGGGCACTGATGAGGAACCTCGGGATGTTCACCAGCCGGTGCAGGGGCAGTCCCCAGGTGCCGAGGGCCCTGAGAGGGACCCCCACAGCACCAGCCTGCCCCCAGGTGCCGAGGGCCCTGATAGGGGCAGGCGGATGATGGAGACCTCCGGCGGCCTGGACGTCTCTCCGCGGTCAACACCCTCAGGGAAGGGGCCACTCCCAGGTGCCGAGGGCCCTGATAGGAGGGCCCCATTCCCCCCAACCCCCCCAGGCACGGAACGCCCTGGGGGGAGCAGGGGGGAACCCCTGACGTGGCAGCCGCCGACACAGGGGGAAACCTTCATCATCCTCAAGGCGGATGTCACCAAGGCCCACAGGCGCATAAAAGTGCTCCAGAAAGACTGGAAATACCAGGTGGCCTGCATCCAGAACCGGTGGTGGGTCAATAGAGTGGGCACGTACGGCATGGCCTCGGCACAACTGTACTGGGGAAGAAAGGCATCCTTGGTGCTCAGACTCTTGTACTACATCTTCCCTCAGGTGGACTGGCACTTAGTTTTTGTGGACGACTACTGCTGGGTCCTCAGATGCAGCAGGGCGGACTGGGACGCCACAGCCATCCTGGCCACTCTTCTGGCGCTGGGAGTCCCGCTTTCTTGGAAGAAGACGGCGCTCTCCCCGGTCAATACCTGGTTGGGATTCGTGGTGGACCCAATCACGCCCTGTGTGCTGCTGGCTCCAGTCAAGCACGTCATAATCCTGGCCACTCTCAAACGGCTGGCCCAGGGGGACATCTTTACCAGCAAGGAGGTGGAACAAGCCCTGGGCCGGATTCAATGGGCTACTTCGGCGTGTCCATTGACGAAACCTTTCCTCCAGCCCTTTTGGAGCTGGAAGAAGGCCTGCACCACTTCGGGCAGGCCACCGAAGCTGGTTCGTGCTCTGGCCATCCTTCTGGGGAAGCTCTTCAACCAGAGGTTCCCACTGGCATCTCCATTTGCTCCCACACTTCCATGGACGGGGGCATCTGATGCGGGAGCTGGCAAACAGGCGGACCATGCATGGGTTGGTGGTTGGTGCTCGGACGTGCCCAACCCCGACAAGTCCCGAGTGAAGTGGTTCCAACACAGAATCACACCGGAGGGCGAGCCGTGGGCCTTCACTACTGGGGACCCGCAGCGGGCGATAGCGGCCTTGGAGCTCTTCGGCCTCCTCCTTTTGGTGAGGGCTGTTCTGCTTTGTGCAGCCGGCTCGGCTTCTCACACTAGGATTCTGGTTGCTAGTGATAACCAGGGAAACGTTTTCTCCCTGCTTAACGATTCCACTCGCAGGATGCCCAATGCGGCCATCCTCATGGAAATTGTGTTAACACTGCATGACCACCAGGTCATGTTAGGACCGTCGCATGTGAAGCGCGACTTTAACACATGGGCGGATGAACTTACTCATCCGGACCCGCAATTTCCGACTGAGAACCGGGTCTTCCCCTCAGTCGAAAGCGAATTGATCAAGCTGATCTTCGCTACTTTCCTTCCTCACCCATGATGCCGGGAGGGCATCCGGTGAGGTGGGAGGATTCCTCCCTCGCTGTGGGAGTGGCATCAATTCTACTCCCATCAGCTGCTGAGGGGAGCTGCCCAGTGGAGCTGGGCAATCCTCCCATTTTGGCACTAATCCTTATGCGGCGTAAAGGATGCACCGTTTCGCGATTAAGGTACCAGTAGCACCAATGTGGTGCTTTGAAGAGTCTCATGGTATTTAAATGTTGACTATTTACATGGTTTCGGGCAAGACTCCTTACGCTGCAAAGAACAAAGAACCAAAGAACCATCCGTTTCAGAGGAGTGAGCCTTTCATGTCCAGGTCCGGCTCTGGCAGAAACAAACCCGGCGCCGAAGCGGCGGCTATGCAGGGCAGAGGCAGGGAGGAGGGAGGGGGCAGGTGGGGCCATTCCAGTCAGCGATTCTTGGATCCTGACCCATTCTGAAACCCCTCTAAACCAAGCCAACCAAACCACCCTACTCCTACCTCTGCAACCTTAGCCGACCTTCAGACACCCAGAATCCACGCAAACCCACCCGAAACAAACCTTACACCCGTCCTAGGCCAAAGCTTCTGGCGATTGCTGGAGGTGTTTTAAACCTAACCTGTCCCAAACCAAATCCTCAATGATTAGCGGATTACGGATTGCGCGGTTTACGGATTAGACCGTTTTGGTGTAGGACACCCAACTACATATGGTGAGGGAACTGCTTCTCAGCTTTTTAAGGGGTGTTTGATTATTAGAATAAGACGCTCGGCAGCCCGAAAATGACACTAGGGCATGTGAAAGGGCCCCAGTGGGGTCACTTTTCCAGGATGGAGTCGTGGATGCCTGGTACTGGTATGAGGCTTTGTCAGGCCCACCTGGAATGGCGATAAACCGCGTGGATCATGGATTAGTGGGTTTACCAGCTAAAATGCGGATTAAGCGGATTACGGATTGTGATTAGGCCCCCGGGGATTTCGAACAGGCTAGGAAACGATGCTGGGGATGTTGAGAGTACTCCGGAGCAAAAACCAATAAGTTCCTGAACAAAAAGTCCGCAACCAATTCTGAACAAAATCTCCAACTTATTTTTGCATCGCAGAAACTCGGGGAATAGCTGGCGTGTTTTACAGGGTGCCGGCTTGGTTGGTCGCCCAAACAGGCATGCTCTACATGCCTCTGCTGGCAAATGACCAGATAGCCAATGGAAGCAGAATGCCGAGCAATTCCGGAAAATTGGAGCTTGGCAAGCATCTACACGTCTGTGCCCGGTTGTTCACTGGCATCCTTTTTCCATCAAACAGCGTGGAATCAGCTGCGAGAATGGTGTTGTTTTGCTTCCGGGAGTGTGTGTGTGTGTGTGTGTGTGTGTCTGTGTGTGTGTGTGTGTCTGTGTGACTTTGAGTGTGAGAGTGTCTGTGTGTGTGTGGGCGTGCGCGCGCGTGCGTGCGTGCGTGCGTGCGTGCGTGCGTGCGTGGGTGGGTGGGTGGGTGGGTGTGTGTGTGTGTGTGTGTGTGTGTGTGTGTGTGTGTGTGTGTGTGTGTGTGGGTGTGGGTGTGGGTGTGGGTGTGGGTGTGGGTGTGCGTGTGCGTGTGCGTGCGCGTATGCGTGCGCGGGTTCGGGTGCGCGTGCGTGTGCGTGTGCGGGTGCGGGTGCGGGTGCGGGTGCGCGTGCACGTGCGTGTGCGTGTGCGTGTGCGTGGTGCGGTGGCGTGGCATGGCGTGGCGTGGCATGGCGTGGCGTGGCGTGCGTGCGTGGGTGCGTGGGTGCGTGGGCCCGTGGGTGCGTGGGTGCGTGGGTGCATGTGTGTGTGTGTGGGTGTGTGTGTGTGCACGAGTGCTGAGCTGCCAGGTCTCGCCAGAGCGGCAGCCTCAGCGGTTGAACCGAGCAGGCTGTTTTTTGTGGCGCGTATGATGTTTCTCTAAGAAACCAGGTCCCCTAAAGTGGCGGGCTTCCTTTTGGCTTGCCTTTCAATACCAACAAAAGAGGGTCCACCATTTTGAGAATCTCTTGCAGGAGTTCCATTCTGCTCCGCACGCGCTGTACTGTAGCAACAAAATGGTTGAAACGGCGCCGTGCTTTGCAAGTTGTACCAAAGCTTAAGGCCCTGGCCGAGATGGATGCACAGGTGCCTACTGTTAAACTGATACATCTGCTTTCGTCAAGCCGAAAAGCATGGCCTTTGACGTACCACTGGTGATGCAAGGGGGTGTTGACCACTTGGTGTTGACAACTTTGCCAACCGAGTGTTGTCGGGCTTCCGAGGGTCATGCCGGGGTTCCGAATGCAATTTTGCAATTAGTCGCATGAAATTGAAAACTCGCGACATCAACTTCTTCAGGAAAACCATCAACCTCCAGGCGTTCTGCCTCGCACACCTTAGGACCTTGCCACACGCGTGCTCGCCGAGTCGTCTCAAGTTTCAAACCTTGATCTTCTGACTGCGAGGGGAGCAGGAGTGCGCAGGGCCGGGTTCACCCTGGTATAAATATGTGTATATATTATAATATGGTCACCCACCCTGCATGACCATAGTATATACATTAATATATTGCAACAACAAAAACAACTTTTGTTGGCCTCACTCCCGACGGGGCGCTGCCTGAGGCCCAACCGCGAGGCAGAGGCGCGAGCAGAGGCGGGCCGGCTCCCGGCAGGTCTCCGTGGTGCTTTGCCCGGTCTTGTTCTTGCTGGTGCTCAGTAGAAAATGAGAAATGGAATGAAACTGGGGATTCCCTGAAAGGAAACCACAAGTTGGATGGTTTATAGGGCTGAGTCCCTCATTTCCTCCTGAGCACCAGCAAGTTGTTCTTGTCATGCTGCTTTTTGTTGTTTGAATGCCATTCTGTGTAGTACCAACAAGAAGGATAGCAACAAAGCGAATTGAAACACAATACCCGCAACCATTACAATGCACAAACACTAGCAAGAAAGAAGACCCTGTCGGATGAATGGCTTTGTTTAAGGGTCCCAAAGAATGGTTGTTTTCGCACAGTCAAGTTCTTGGCGCAACAGTGGCATTCGGCGGGATTCAGACGTGGCGCAAACTCATTCAAGTTTTGTCATCCTCTCATCCTCTTGGTTGAGTTTCCCACCAGCCCCAAACTGGCACGCCGTCGCCCGGCCAAATCCGGAGGCTCCAACGGTCGCACCCTTGCGGCGATCTCGGCGCTTGAAAGGCAAGCGCAATGGAGCCCAGACTGAGACGTTGTTGGTTGTTTGGTTGCTGTTGACACGTTGAAAACCAATGGGCCCTTATAGTGCATCTATTGGGGTGAATTAGCCACTGAGCCTGGAGGTTGGTTTGTTAGCTTGTGCTGATCCCACCTAAAGGGTTTTAAACCCGTGTCATTGCCAGTGGCACTCTTTTCCTTGGTTTCGCGGATGGGGTTTGCCAGTGGAGAATCGCATGCAAAGCTGCCCTTATATGTTATTTGTCTGTGCCACTGGGCGAGTGACGAGGATGCGAAACATGTAGTATAACGATAAGACAAGCTGATCCATGAAAATCCTCAACGTGCGGACTCCGAATTTCCGGGTGTAGTTGCCCAGATCGTCAACCCCGTTTATCAAGGGCTGGGGGAAAGGGTGTGGCTCTTGGGGTTGGTTCAAAAGCGAGCACTGGGTTATCATTCCCGGGGGGGGGGGGGTACTGTTGTTGGCCATGGCCATGGCCCATGTATTTGCCAACAGCGCTGCCAGGCGCCTGGCAGTTTTTCAGTGTTTGGCATGGTTTTCAGCAAAGAAGGGGGGATCGGTCTGTCTCCATGGCAGCTTGCATTTGCCTTGGAGGCTTGCCAGCTGAGGAGGAAGAGATGCAGGCATGGCACAATGCGCCTTTTGTTTTAGCCCGCGATGATTCTGAGGGCTCCTTTGTAGGTTCCATGTCCGGATGTTTGGGAGAGCAGTGGCAAGGGGTTTGCGCGCGAAATTTGTACTCCACCGATTGCAAGGTTTTGGATTGCTTTGGAGCTTGGCAAGTTGTAGTGACCTCGCTGACCGGGCCGTTTGCGACCTCCATCATGAAGGTTCCTGTCTTGAGGGTGGTCCATTCCAACCGATTCATAACTCACCATGCCAATTTCAATTTGGAGCTTGTTGGTTGGCCCACTAGTGCCAGCAGGCTAGCGAATACAGCCTGGCTCAGGACGAAGTGCCAAGGACGAAGCTCTGGGAGCTGCGGATGTTCTGTGCTGAGTCGATGGTTTCACGAAGGCAAGTGCCGGAAATGACGTGTTTTACGGGGGCAAACCTTATGGGCCCTTTCAAGTAGCATTGGTTGGCAGGAAGGTTGAAATGCAGTGTCAGGGGTCAACACAACCTTTACGACTGGGTGGCTAGCACAAACAGCTTGGGAGTTGGGACAAATGGGTCCAGTCTCAGGTGGGTGCAAACTTCTTGACAACGATCTGGCAGGCTGCCCGGTTGCGTTGCTTCCCTTTGGATGGCTTGAATTGTTCAAGCTCCTTTATGTGCGTGTTTGGCAGGAGTTATCAAGGCCTTCATTGACCAAGCCCAGTTGGCCATGTGAACTTCGCCTCTGTTGTGTTCGCGCGAAAATCCAGTGTGAGGCTTTGGTTCCCTGCCGTCTGAAGTCAGGATGGAGCGTATCCATACCTGGGGCCAGGTGGTTTCCCGAACGCCCATCCTCAGAATAGATGGTGGGCATGCTTGAAGTCGCGATATCAATCTGGCTCAAGGCGTTTGAACACCATGCAAATAAGCACCGCTGAAGTGTGCCCAGCTGACCCCCGACCCCCCTACCACCCAAACCTGGGGTGGAGCCTCGCCGCTTGAAGGACGAATCGGTCCGGACACGAATCCGATGATGCCGCGGCCTCAGTTGGTTGCATGGGCGTGGCCACGTTTGTTGCCGCCCTTTGATCTCCCCCTGCCCGCGTGCCGCTTACAGCCTTAAGGTAGCAAAATGCATGCATGATTTTTAACTGTCTATCCGTGCGCCGATCGGTAGTGGGAGCAGCCGTGGTACAGAAATAGAATTCAATTCACCCAGCGCATCTTTAGACCCGTTTTAGTAACTGTTCAACCTCTTTGGGCCAGACATGGTTGGACCCATGTTTAGTAGCTTAACTAGGTCTCCCAGTAGTGCCCTTTTGCCCTTGGGTGAGGGCTCCCCCAAAATAGACTACAGAAAAAGGGGTACCCTGATTCTAACCTCTCAACTCTGGAGGACCTAGTTAACATGTTTGGCCGCCGTCGGGCCTCTTGGGCCGCGAGTCTGCCTCACTGGGCTCCGGCCTCGCGCTCGTGAGGCGCAGGACCTCCCCAGCGCGCCCGAGAAGCCGAGGCAGTGGTGAACGCTTCCCATTCCATGAGACGAAGCTTGTGCTGGGTGAACGAGTCAAAGAGGTCAAGCTCCAAATAAGTAGTGTTGCTCCCTTTGCTTCCTCGACCATGTTTTAGATAGGCCTTGTACAACGTGTGTTTTAGGTCTTGAAGTGCAAGATGGAGACCGACTCTAGTCGTCAAGATATAGTTGTTTGCCACGCAAGCCCGGGTTGTCGCACAGTATAATTGTTTTAGTCAAATGGGCTTTGGACGCATAGGGTGCTTGCACCATTCTTGAGGTTGATCGATGGCCAAGGCTTATGTATGGTTTGCCGATGTCACTGACACCATGAAGGATCGTGGGAAGGATGGCGAGGCTCCTTCTCGCGGATCTATTGCATGCCATGCATGCTTTCGAATTGTTGCAAAGTGTGCAGCAAGCTGGGTTTCTTTCATGGGGATATTTGTGTGATTATTGATGTTTGGTCCGGTTGACTTGTTTCTTCGCTGTTCGGCTAGGCGCTTGTTAGTTGCTGGGGAATCGATTGACATTGCAGGTTTGACATTTGAGACAGGGCTGGTTCTTTAAGAACTGGCCCCACTTTTGACATAGCTTCACCTTTCAACGTTCACCATGGATCGGAAAACGGACATCCCTAGTCCAAGATCAAGTCACTTGCCCACAGCCACTTGCGCCTTGGGTCAAAACACCCTATTACTTGGGATTGATTTGGACGGTCATGGATCCCTTGCAAGGATATTAAGACCATGATGCAGTCATTCATCAATTATTCTTATCAAGGGAACCATGACCAGTGACCATGGCCTTTCTGCGCCTACAAAAGGAGTTTTGACACTTGACCAACTTGACCTTTCGCCTTTTGGTTCCTCATGTTTCCCTGTCCGGTGGTTTGAAACATCAGCTTTAGGCCGTTTGGGGTGCTATTCAAAGAACAAATATTGGGACCCCTAGAGATATGCAACAGATGTGTCAGGCCAAGGCCATCCCTGCTGGAAGATGAGTCTGACGATGCAGAGGAGACCTGCAGAGCGAGCGCGTCACTCGCTTGCGCTTGTGGCACAGATTTTGTGGTTTGGCAAAGATCGTTTTGGCCCACGGGTTGAACCAAGCGCCCCACGTGTTCCGCTGAGACCTCAGAAATGGGCGGTTGAGCATGTCCTCCAGTCCTTGGAGTCTATGTGAAAAGAAGGCGGAGACCTCCAGTGCCCTTTTGCATCAACCAAAACGCAACGCAACGTGATGTTTTCTCTGTAACTGCTCGAACTACATCCAGATTGTGCTTAAAAATGTAGGTTTTATAGTTCTACCTGTTTTGTCTTGTGGTTTCCATGTGTTTTGTCTTGTGGCTGCCTGGATCCAGATGGCTTCCAGACCAAAATCACAAATCCAGCCAAAGACTTCCAAGGAGGTCTCCCCGGCATCCGGAAAACTGGCGAGGTGCGATGGGGGGATCGCCCCAAAATGCCCCAAAATGGCCCGTGGGTATGAATTTGCGTTTGGTGGACATGGTTTAGGTGTGGGCCGGATGTCCACCATACTGTGGAGCGGCTCCATCTCTTAAATTTGGTCGTGTTGGGCGTTGCTTCCGAAAAAGGAGTTGTGAACCATTTTTCTGGGTCTCGGATTGGTCTAGGGAACTTCCAGCGCACGTGGACGGAAATTGAAAAACGATTTGCAACCCATCAAAGGACAAACACACCCTTTTCAGGTCCTTTTTCGTGCTCTTGGATTCTTTATGAGAGCTGCAGCAAGTCCGACAATAGCCATTGTTCGTGGGGTGGAGGGGGAAGTATGGAGGGATGGGTTTTTAAGTTGGATTCCTAGTCATGCAGGTTCGTGCAGATTTGGCGAATAGGGTTTGTTGCTGCGTTGCTTTGTCAAGATCGATGAGTGTTTTGGACAATTGAACGAGCTGATCTAGATCAATGGACACATTGGTGCGCTTGGATGGGTCAACTAGATTTTCGTTGTTTGTTATTGGGATGTGTAGTCGTTCGTCGCTTGTTGAGTTCAGAAGTGTGGGCTGAGAAGAATCCGACCTGTTTTGCAAACAGTATCTCGGACAGATTGAGTTGAATGCCCGCCCGTTGTAGTATTGGTTTCAAACTTAAGCTTAGAATTCCCGGACCTGTTCTTTTTGGTTTTGGCAACACACTTTGTTTTGATTATGAGGGTAAACCTCTAAACCCGAAAAATCACCTAACCCCCTGAACCTCAATCCTTTGCACCCCCTAAACCCCCTAAACCCCTACCTTGGGGAGGAATGAAGAAACGGCACCTTGAGCCTTTCGCAACTTTGTTCTCGCCTGCGCCAGGCCTGCATCTGGCTTGTTAGATGAGGAGTCGGAGGATGACGCAGCAGAGGGGCTGAGCTACCCACCTGCTCGCGTCCAAAGTGAGCCGCTCCTGGCTTGTTGTTTTTCTCGTTTTGGACTTGTTTTTTTGTTGAGGGCCAGCGTTGCTAGTATTCCCTCATCCTTTGGGGTAGTGAGGCTGCTTGAGTGGGCTCTCCAAATGCGGCAAAGGCCCCCAAATATAAGTGGTTTATGTTTAGGTTTGTCTTTAACGCCAACAAGTTGGATCCACACAAGCCGATTGCCATGTCGATAGGAGCTGGCGCGCAGCATGGCAAAAACCTCCTCAGGGAAGAG